AACATTTCTGGGTCGCTCCGCTAAGGTCCATCGCGTATATTATACTCACGATGGTCTGGCACGCCGTGGGGAAGGGGCGCAACTCCTCCGGGCGGGGGCAGCTTGGGGAGCAGTGACGCCGGGTCGATGTTGAGCCTGTTCTTGCGCATGCGAGGCGCGAGGTAGAGATCGAGGCAACGGTTGAAACGCTCCTTGACGAGCTCGCCGTATGCGGGGACCTTGCGCAGCGAGTCAAACTTGGCGGGCATGTACTCCCTTCTCCCTCTCCTCGGGATCTTGCTTCAGCCACTCCTCCTTCTCGGCCTGTGTGGGCAGGTACTCGGGTGGGGGGTTGTAGCTGAGGTCGTAGCCGGGGGGTGGCAGCTTGGGCGCGGGGATGTTCATGACGTTGAAGGGTTGGGGCTCCTCGTTGGCCCAGATGTCGTAGTATGTCTCCTCCTTCTCCTCCTCCTCCCTCTCCCTCTCCTCTTCCGGCTTGTATGGCAGGATGCGGCCCTCCTTGATGGCGCGGACGAGCTTGGCGACCCTCTTGGCCTCGTGCTTCGAGGGGACGAAGCGACGCTTTGGCTCGGGAGCAGCGCTCAGGGGCATCTTCTCCTCAATGCTCGTGAAGTACTCGATCGTGTCCTGGTTTCGTTAGTACGTTGCATACAGGGGATTGAAGATGTGGAGATGCATACAGGATAGGGGTCGTAGCCATCTTCGGGAACCTCGTTCATCTGGATCTTGCGCAGCAGCTCGAGCTGGTCCTGGGTCAGGTTGAGAGGCTTGCCCGTCTCGGGGTCTGTCAGGCCGGTCCAGCCCTTGGGGATCTCAATGCTGTCGAGCAGGGCGTCGAGAGCCTCGCCGGTGGCCGGGCGCATGATCTTCTTGCCGTTGATGTCGTAGCCGATGTGAGGGTAGGAATCGTAGAAGGAGAGGGGAATGTCGCCAATAGTGTTGGCGGGGCCCTGGGCGTCCGAGTCGTCCGAATCATAGACGGGATCAATCTCGTCATACTCGTAGCGGACACCGCCATTGGCATCGGTGACAATGCGATAGCTTGGCCCCTCATCTTCGTCGTCGGCGGCGGAAATCTTGCCGTCCTTGCGCGCATCCTCGCCGTCTGAGGGAATGTCTTCACTCAGGAAACCATCATCCTCGTCCTCGTCCTCTTCGACGTCGCTGCCTTCGAGTCCGTCAAACTCGGCGCTGTCGTTGTCGGAATCAGACCCTTCAGAGCCTTCAAAGTCGGAATCGTCCTCGCCCTCTGACAAGACGCCCTCCAAAGCGACCTGGTTCAGCTCATCGTCGGATTCGGGCTCAGCCTGCGGACCCTTCCGCTTCTTGAGACCCTGCTGCGGCGCCATTGGGTCAGGGAAAGAGTGTGGTGGTGGTAGTGGTAATGTTTGGGGAGGGGGAGGGGGGGGTGCAGGTTGAGGTAGGTGCCTGCATCCAGACAGTGTTTGGCGTTGGCGGTGTTGGTGCGCAGGCAGGTGCACTACAATGCTCGAATGGACAATTTTTTTTCTTTCTGCCGCGGGATGGTAAACGGGGGGGGGGAGCTTCTCTCTGGTGAGTTGGCCGCCTTCCTCATTGGGGTCCCATAGTGGGGTTCTCTTGTCGAGAGCAGCGGCCAATGGGAAGACTCCGTAGGTGCTGATGCGTGGCTTGCGTGGGTGGCTGACATAAGGCGCCACGCCCGCTGCCAGCTCGCTGGTGCTGCCGACTAGAGCACCCCTCACACGGCTTCCAGGACTCCAGGGCACGGGGGGAGAGGTTTCCAGGCGTCTTCTGGCGTACAAAGAGGCGCTTCAGCTCGCTGCAACTCCGGCCAAAACCGACAACGGCGCGGCCGTAGTCTGCTCCAAAACGCAGCAAAACGCAACGTAACATCCGTGGGACAGTCTCAGTTAGGAAACTTTGCTGCCCGTGATTATTTTTGGTACACGATGGCGTTGGAAGCCGGATGACTCTAGCGGTAGGCAACGAGGGTGTGCCATGGGGAATGGGGAATGACGGGCCGTTTGACGTCAACACCATCCGGTCAAGAATCTATAGAGTTCACCGGACCATCTTTGGGCCCCTACGAGGGACTGAGATGGTGTTTCTATCAAAGAGTTAGGTCGTCCCGAGAGAGGAAAGATGGCTGAGTAATCTGCTCACGTTGCTGTGAATGGCCACCGCTTCAAACATCTACGCCCGGAAGGATTCCTTTGGGCCCCCCTCATCTGACTCCCCTTCCTGTCTGGCCTGTCCTTCGGTCGGCTCTTCTCCTTTCATCCTCGTCTGCCTCACTCATAGCCCCGAATGTCAAGTCATCCGCTCGCTACGTATCCATTCAAAGCCAAGACAGCCATTCAGCCCTAACGCATCGTACCTGCAAGGCGCGTGTCAGCCTGCCCGCTTCAGCCCGACTGTGCTAGCCATCAGGCGGAGCCACGTCTTGGGTCTCGATACGCTCGTACATGGCACATGCCGTCGCGCCCTACCTCCACCACCACCAGAACCGCCAACCACTGCCGCTGCTACGTATGCCCTCGACGTGACCGCCAAACTAAATCACCGCTGCCGTCAGCATACGTTATAAACCCGGCCCTCCATCCCACTGTCCCAAGCCGCCGGGTCCCGAATTATTGACATCACCATCTGTTTGTTCGTCTGATTGTCAGGCACACATCGCCCCGCCTTCAGTGTATAGCCACGCCAACCCCCTGATCCTTCGCCATGTCTCAGTCGCCTCCGACAAAGTCCAAGGCCATGTCCAGGTCCAAGCCAGAATCTACGCCTGGCATCGTAAAACACAGAGCATGTGATGAGTGCCGTAAGCCCTCCTTCCTGTTGCGTCTACGTTGTGTTCCAGACGTCTGACCACGGTCACCAGGAACGCGCAAGCTGGCCTGCTCGAAGGAGCCCGATGGCTGCTCTCGTTGTCGCAAAGAAGGCATCACCTGCGTCTATTCAGCGCAGAAACCCATGGGCAGACCACGGAAGCGCCGCCATGTGGAGGATGCCGAAGAGCAGCCATTGGCGATCCAGTCAGACATTGCCAGCCTGCAAGACTCGTTGAGACCATCATCACATGCTCAGCCCGATCGCTA